AGATTTGAACGTCCTATTTTTGGAGCAAGCCAGTCGACCTACTTTCGAGCCACGCACACTTTTTGACAAAAATGGAAATGGCCATAAGTCAGTTCAGGTTCAACGGATTTTACTCATTTTTGGTGTTTGAATGAATAACGACTGGCCCCAAAACTTCTCACAGAGGTTTTGATATTTTTTAGAAATTATGGAAATTACATAGATTTTGGCAATTTCACTATGCATTTCAGTGTCTGCCTACGGTCAATGGTAACTGAAGAACCGTTTGACCCACATGTTTCAAATTGCATACAGTTGTTACTCCTATGGGAGACATTTGAACGTCCTACTTTGGAGTACGCCAGTCGACCTACTTTCGATCCATGCCCACTTTTTGGGAAAAATTAAAATGGCCATCTAGATTTGTTGGATTTTGTTAAATTTTTGTATGTCAGTGTGTAAGGCTAGCCCCAAAACAGTTGTTACTTGTATGGGAGAGGTGACGTCCTATTTTGGAGCACGCCAGTCGACCTACTTTTGAGTCATTCTCAACTGCGTGTTTGCTTCTTTTTTTTTGGGGGGGGGGGGTGATTTTGTAGTACATACGTTACTAGAAACTAGTTATTTTACGCTAAAAACAATGAAGGAATGAATTAGAAGTCTAATTAATACCTTTAGTATAGTACCACTAAATACTGTTAAAACTGTGGTGGCTAAACTGCCGCCCCCCCCCCACCGACTCGGTGCACTTGTTCCCACTCGCTCATTTATGTCCTTTTTGTGGTGAGCTACAGCGTCATTGACACTTTCATTTTCTGTGCTTACAGGTTGATCCATTTCACACATTATTTGGTCTGGCAGGACTGTCATTGTTGGGAAACAGGAGTCTAAAGCATATTAATCCAGTGTTCTGCATGTCACAGTGCATCATAGACAGATTAGGTCTCACAGTCTAATTATTCTGATGTTCCCAGACGTAGGAGACTCTTCGAATGACAAGTGACATACAAATTCAGCTGTGGCTGTAAACATGACCTACTAACATTACCATTATCATTTTTAACAAACTTGTTACTTGTAACAAGTCCTAGAAGCTTGACATTTTTACTTACTTCTTTTTTTCTGCCAGTGATATGACAGTGATATAGTGTCAATTAATTATTTCATGTATATTTTACGTGTAATCAAATATTGTAATTAATCTTACTGATATAAAATGAGGCTCTGCAGTATCTGATTAACTGTAAACTACTTCTAGTATCATGTTCAGTAGAAACATCAGTTGAGTCAGAATATGTTGAATTTACTGGTGCTTTTATTTCCAATTTTGCATAATTATTATATATGTATAATTCTATGTATCAATAGTATAGTAGTTGTATAAATATAAATATCTTATTCATATTTAAAATATAAACATAAGAACATGATTAATATCTTGTATATATGGATATTTGCAATTGCTCAAGATCCAGTATGACTGGTTCCATAAGAGCATATATAGTCTTGCTATGTAAAAGTGAATGGTAGTAAATAATGTATATAATAGTAAAACCTTTCATATGCTGAAATTTGGGAGTTGGGTAAATTCTTAGCATTCAAAAGCTGAGATCTCATTTTCTTCAGAAGTTGGTCTACATATGACAATCGCAGCAATTCTCATCAGTTAACAGGAACTGCATTTGCTTTGTTCTCAATATTATTAGCAGCCACTAAGAAAATTATTTGTTTAAAAAAAAATTGATGATTTTTGCCATGGTTGACAAAACAATATTTGAAAAATAATTTTTCAGAGTAGTCAGTCATGAATTTATATAAATTCTCGAAAAAAAAAACTGCATCATCATTTGTGGTTTTGTTATTTTGTGTGCCTCAAGTAATGCATGAAAAGTTTTCCCAGACCATATTACAAATAAGAAATCTAAATAAGGAAACACTGCGTGTCTACATCTAAAACGTTGAATAAAACCTCATTGCAGTTTGCCTCACATAAAGGACTGAGCAAGTTATGTAAAGCCATCCTATATGCAAGTATCTGTGTCCTGAAAGCCGACAAACTTGTCCCAACCCTTCCTGCAGTGCTTTTCAATCCATACTTGCTCATCTGCATCTGATAAACAAAACGAGAGTATAATACACTATAATGGCTAAAGATGGGACAATCTTTCAATGTTTGGCACATCGGTAAAAAAACTGCATTGAAACATTGCTCACCCTTCAAGACTACAAAACTAGAAATACGTATATACCCGCATTTCTCAGGAAAGCATTATCGTAGTTGGTGACCACTTTAGTTTGCTGGTTATAAAAGCCATCTCCCGTATCATAGCAACCAGCAGGTATCTCCATGGCAACTGCCTTGTCAGTCAACAAGGAACGGCCTAGATAGAAATAAAACATGATCAATAGAAGTGTAGAGTGCAGCTGTCATTTATGTTCTTTCAGTTAATCAGTTTGACTTTGAACTATTTTAGCAACTGTTTTGAATATTTTATGGTTATCACCAGTATTAGTAGCTATAGTAAATCATGATTTATTACACACACTACAGTTTTAGATGTAATTTCACACAGTCACTTGTTAATGTAACTGCACCTGCTGGTTGAAGGCCAGTACAAATTTCAGTATAGAATCTCCTGTCATTAGTTGTGCAATAACTCCAATCATGCTCTTTGAATTTTAGTCCATCAGTAAAAGTGTAGTCTCTCTGGAATATTAACCATTCCCAGATACCCTCACATAGAAAATATGAGATTATTCGTTTCAAATGTTTTTTCTGTCAATTAGAAACGTCTAATCTATGAACCTTTAGAAGTCTGCATTTGCAAAATCCCATGTTTAGCTTACGTCACTAACACGACCATTTTCCCATTGTGCTTCACACTTGCATCCATTTGGGAAGTGAAGTGTGCCATGACCGTGGAACATTCCATCCTTCAACTGCCCTTTGTAGATCGTTCCTGTTGCAAATGTGTACTCTCCTGCACCCTCCAACCTTTAAAAACCAGTCACATTTGCCTTTTTAATTTTGTTACAACTAATGCATGAATTATAATATACAGCCAGTTTACAAATTAGAGCTTTGAATGTCTACAGTTTGGGCCCCAATACTCTGGCACACTCAGGACCAGGCCATTGCTAAATAATATAAAAATAGCCAGAAATAAGCACAGCCCATACCAGGTAGTGACGATCACACACACAATTAATGTTTGAATATATCACAGGAAACAATAACATCGCTGATTGAAAAGATCCAAAAACTACAGACCTCCAACTTCAAGTTCAACTTGTGCCTGACCACTGAAGGTGCCTGTAAATGCTGTTCAAATTATCCTCTGCAACACACAAGTACACCGCATGCACGCTGCTGTGCACAAACAACAAGAATATAGATATCTTAGAGATCTAGATACATTGGATCTCTATATGATTATAATTTATCTAATAATATTCTTGTTATTTGTGTACAGTCGCATGCGTGCGGTGTACTTGACTTGTTCTGTGTTGCAGAGGAGCATTTGAACCGAGAGCATTGAAGAGAACCGACTCAACCTTCTCAACAAAATTCTTTCTGGAAGTGTCACGATCCCCAAAGTCAAGTACAACAGGATGGGTCCATCGCGCACACGGAGCAAAAACGACAACAAGCTTGCAGTCAATGAGTCATTAGAACCTCACAAGGGGAATTCAAAAACTCATTCTTTCCACGGACCATCGTGGACTGGAATGTCTGCACGCAGACCGTGATCGACACCATCAGTGTCGCAGTCGCGGCCGCCTAATTTCACCACGCCCCATCACCTGCCTCATAATACGCATATACGCGGTCGACGCAGTACTATCATCAAGATCAAGATCAAATAGATAGTCATTAAACATGTAATCTAACTACTGAAAAGTAACGGTAGCAATTAAAACATATAGACAGTTGCCTTTAAAAACAATATATCAATATATCACATGTATGTCAATTAGCGACACATTGAGCATCTGCACCTGTACCCACCCCACGTTTCGAGTAGTCTTCTAAACACGTTGAAGTTCTCACTCCGACGTATACATTTCGGCAAATCGTTCCATATTCTAGCTCCTTCATACTTTAAGCTTTTCTTACCACAAGTGGCCCTTTCGAAACGTGGGATGTGTACACGGTAATTAAAACTATATCTGGACTCGGTCTTTACAACAAGATCGTGGAGGTATACAGGCCGATCTTTAGTGAGAATTTTACAAACGTCAATGGCTATGAGCTTTTGTCTTTGTACTTTGAGACTGACTGATTTGTTTCTTGCTAGTAAGCTGTCATAGTCACTGCTGAAGTCATTATACACAAATTTTAATGCTCTATAATTGAGCTTTTCGAGCTTTTTCTCATTTGCTTTGTCACAGAAGTGCCATATAATAGGACAAAAGTTAAGGTGATTACGTCACCGTAAATAGTAGAAAAAAATATTTTTAAAAACTTGCATCAACACATATAGACTAATATAGGAGGATAAAAGAGAGAAGATTAGTGAACGATTGTGATCACTAGATAAAACAACAGAACCTTTGAGACTAGCGAGGCGGCGGTGCATAGATCGCATCGGTTTTGCCAAAATCAGCAAATGCAGGCAAACCCTGGCCAAGTTTTCAGGGCATTTGCGATGGGAGACAAACGATATGATCGATGCCCCACTTCACTGTCGGGGCGAACGGATATCTAATATGCCACGATAGTAAATATATGCGTGGGTTGACGCAATTGATCACCATTGACTTTAAACTCATACTTTGGTGGTGCACATTTCAAATGGCTTTAGTAAAAAAAAGGTGCAGGCAATATCAATGCACTTGAAATACGTATCGGACGGTCAATCTCCTGTTAGTTGCAGGAAAAATAATATATTCGTGTCATGATCTAATATGGTAAAATTGTAAAATTTTTAGTTTGCCATTTTGTTTTATATCATTATAAATTAAGATACTAAACGTACTAAACGTATCGTCAATGTTAAGCGTGAAAGATTTGTTTGCTCACAACTATTTAAAATCCGCAAATAAACCTGTGACGATTTTAATATTAGTGAGTTCTCTAACAGTTATATTGCTTGCTATGGGCTACGTATGAGTCACAGAGTTATGTTCACTTATCAAAACAATATAGTAAAATAAAAGAAGTATAATCAGCAATTAACATATAACAGTGAGAACAGAATTAACTTATACCATTTTGTAGAATAAAGTGGGAATA